AGGTAACGTTTAACTTAGTATTTAATAAATTATTTTATTTTACTTTTTTTAGACTATCGGAAAATTCGGGTTAAAGGTATTTTGTAAGTCAGGCTAGGCCTAAGTAATAAGTAATTTATTGTAGGCTACTGTAAGTTCAATATTTAATTGTTTACAATTAAAATAACACCTAAATGGCTTTATAACTAATTACGGTATCTTAAATCAATGGAGGTCCCTTATTTATAGTACATACAATGACAACAGGAGGGGAGGAATTTTATTAGTGTGCGTTATGGTTACCCTACCTCTTCTGTGATTTGATCACCTTCTTCTCTATCTATTTTCTGTTCCTGTCCAAAATATCCTTCTTGATCTTCCTCGTCCTCTTCAAAAACGTAAATATCCTTGCTTTGTCTATAAACTACTTCTAAGTAATACTCGCTAACTTCGTTATTCTGAATATTGAAAGAAAGTATTGATACCTCTCGGAAGTATCGGAACGTCCCTAGATAAGAACATTGTAATTTATGTTGTTGTAGTATTTGTCTATGTTTTGTTGTATGAATATTTTTTTCTAACTAGGCCTATATGTTAAGTCTAGATGAAGTTTTTATTTTACCGTGCAAATATAGATCAAGATTATAATTAATGGACGAGAAACCTGTTAATGCCACATATGCATTTTATCTAGGTAACGTTTAACTTAGTATTTAATAAATTATTTTATTTTACTTTTTTTAGACTATCGGAAAATTCGGGTTAAAGGTATTTTGTAAGTCAGGCTAGGCCTAAGTAATAAGTAATTTATTGTAGGCTACTGTAAGTTCAATATTTAATTGTTTACAATTAAAATAACACCTAAATGGCTTTATAACTAAGTACGGTATCTTAAATCAATGGAGGTCCCTTATTTATAGTACATACAATGACAACAGGAGGGGAGGAATTTTATTAGTGTGCGTTATGGTTACCCTACCTCTTCTGTGATTTGATCACCTTCTTCTCTATCTATTTTCTGTTCCTGTCCAAAATATCCTTCTTGATCTTCCTCGTCCTCTTCAAAAACGTAAATATCCTTGCTTTGTCTATAAACTACTTCTAAGTAATACTCGCTAACTTCGTACGACGGATGTCCGTAAACAGCTATACCAACTGGTCTTTTGAAGCTGAAATGCAATTCCAATTTAAGACATATTTAAATGATCCCTGAGAGGATAAATATGTTTTGCAAGGAAGAGACAAATAAAAGAAATGTTGCATAACGTTTAGAAGTATTTCTGCACAAGAAAGTCAATTTAAACCAAATCCAAGCAGCTACATGAATTCTATTCACTTTATTTTAGTATTGCAGTCTACAAAACAATATAAGTTATATGGTACCAGTAAGGAAAAAGGAAAAGTAAATAATTAGCCTACAGTAACTGGACAAGTATACCTTGTTGTTTCTTGACACTTAAAACCCCTTTTATTTAACGTTAAGGCTAAAATAGATTTATGTTTAGTGTTTATTAGCCTATAGCCTACAAAGATTTATAGAACAAGAGAAAAAATCTGAAGAAAAACTTTTTTATACAAAATTAGTTTTTTTAAACTTCAGTGGGGGACGGACCGGTTCAATTCTACAAAACTCTATCCTAATGGGTTTGGGTCGCTTTTCCTTTAAATAGCGATAAAAAAACTAGGTACTTTATTGATATTATCCGAAAGCCACCCTTATACAGCGCGCTGCGGCGGTTACGTTAGGATGCGTTATCATAATATGTTTGTAGGACTTTCCTCGTTTTGTTATGAATTGAACGATACCAGATGAGTCATACTTTCACACGCCAAATCCCTCCAAGTAGGCCAAGGCCTGGTTTTTGACGGAGCGTGCGCATCACCTGTCACCACCTTTATCTGAGAAATTTTACGGGCGAAAGTATGACTCATCTGGTATTGTTCAATTCATAACAAAACGAGGAAAGTCCTACAATCATATTTATGATAACCCAACCTAACATAAACACCCTCGCACGCTGTATACCTACTTGGCGGAGTATAGCGGCGGCGGCGCATTCAACTCAACCCTCGCCGACATCGCTGTCTTCTGGGAAGCAGAACTCAAAGGCCGCTAATCGTAATCATGTCAAAATTGGACAGTAAGTCAATTTAAGTATGTTCTTTCTAAATGTTTTTTTCTTTAAATTATTTTTGGTTCCCGGCAAAAAAATCTCTCTTAAATTAGTTGCATCCAAATAATACCAAAAACTCTTGGAAAAAGGGCTTAACAAAATTCCAGGTTGACTTACTTAAAATATGCCACTGGCGTAGGAAAAATATCTTTTGCAGATTAATAAACAAAATAACTCTTGGGTATGGATGTATTAACTTATGTAAGTAAACACAAAATAAAACTAACCTTTTTGGTATGTGAACAACATCCAGCCCACAAGTGGAAGATTGTAAACAGTAATTATCTGGTTCAAACGATGGTTTATTCACAAATTGGGACACATAGAGATCTGCATCACCAAAGCTGAAAATAGAAAATATTTGATAAAACTGTTCTTTCATAGTAGGCTTAGGCCCTAATTAATAGATTTATTTTTAGTGTATTGTGTTTAACAGCAGAAAAACATCACAGCTATTTCTAAAATGTTCCAAAGTTTACTTCTTACCTTGAATACAAATATAATGTGATAGGGCCTTTGTACATCAAGCTGTAATACGTGTAGTTCCCACCAACCACTTCTCCGCTGACGGAATGTAGTACATGGGCGTTTAGTTGCTCGATCGATAATACCTTTAACACCATATAGAAAACATTTAAGTTTAGTCTTTTGATGGTATTTAGGCTAGTGTAGTCTTATGTGGATGCTAAAATATGTTGCTATTCAAATCAATGCTATCTTTTTGGAAAAATACAAACATAGGTAACTGCTGTCAGGTTCAGTTCCGCAGAGAACCAATGATATCTAATCGGATAAATAACGATGAATATCGATGTTATTTAGGGTAACCGGTATCCGATTCAGTATATCACAGTTCAGTTACAAATAAAGTTAAGTATATTCAGTTACAAAATATTGTTTATTTATCCCCCCAAATTTAAGCATAAAATTGATTTATGATTTTGTAGACGTTTTTATTCATTGGCCTATCTAATAAATTAAGTATCAATATCTGACCAAAAACAAATTATATTATGACCTAATGAAAAGTACAAAGTAGGCTATGAAAAAAAAGAAAAGCTTTGTTACAGTACTGTTTTTGTTATACCTAGTTTTTATTTATAGGGCACTAGCAGAGTACCCGACCTTCCTACAAGTTTGACGTAAAAGTATAAAATGCTTAATGCAGTTATACTCAAGCATTGTGTTTGAATGGGAGAGGACACGTACGTTTTAAGAAAATTTGGTTTACTAAAATTTACTGTATAAGTTACCATATACCATAGCACTGTATACTGTACATACTGTACCATAGCAAATCTACCATAGCCATAATGTTCTACCACTGCACCTAAACAATAGAAAAAAGTAAGTTAAAGTTCTCATAGCTTTTTGTTGCTGCTTGGTTCATATTAGCAGTTGTCATAAATGCAAAAAGAATCAATAGTGTTGGACCCTGTTGGTAAACCTTAAGTTATAGGCTAACCTTTTAATGCTATTGAATAATTCATATAACCAACTTGTGTAATTGAAACAGCTGGCAAAATTCTTTAATTCCTTTTAAATATGACACACTCATACGGTTAGCATAGGAAACTCTAGGGCCACTGGGGCGGATTTTTGAGATAAGAATGTGTCTAACGTTAATCGGGAATGTGAGCTATCATCATACCAATTGTCAACCCAATCCGACCAGCAGTTAAGTTAATGCGTGGTTGAACTTCAAACAAACTTTTACATTTATAATATTAGTATGATAAGTTAATTTATGGTAGGCCTACTCGATTCAATTCAATAAGCTTACCGGTGTTAATATCAAACCGATAAGTAAATATGTATCGTTATTCACCCGATAACATATGGTTGGATCTCTGCGGAACTGTGAGGTAGGCTACCTCTACTGTTCGCCCCCCAATCCATGATCAGAAAATGATTTGAACACGTCCTAAGTTAGCTCTATTATTTATGAAATTTACAGGACAAACTGCTTTGAAGGAGATGTAAAATCAGCAACAAAAACCTCCTCATTCTGATAGAATATCTAAACTTAGAAGAAGATCGTCTCCTTGTTATAAGCGAATGGGAAATAGGACCTATGATACAATGTAACTTATAGAATTAGCCTATTAAGTTAGCCTATATAGGACTACTGAGATACTTACTTGTAAGGTTAAAATTAAAATTATCTTTATACAACTCATAATAATCCTGGGCAAAGAACCATATTAAAGATTCACATTAGTCTTAGTCAGGCAAAGGTTTTTAATATAAATTTAGTATCCCTGTCCCAGTCTATGCTTGACCTAAAGAAATCCCACTTTACGACAAACTAAATGGGATTCATGATCCCTAAATTTTACCAAACTGAGAGGATTAAATAAATTTTCAACAATCCAGAAATAGGTTAAGGCTAATTAATAATAGTACAGTAGCTTTAAAACCAAAATAAAACAGAAAATCTCTCCTTTGCTCTGCTCTGATAACAATTTCAATTTGGACTAAGTTTGAGGTTATATTATGATATGATATTGGTAAATGGTGTAACATTTTTTCAGCAATACAACCATAGAGTATGGTAAAATACTTTACATTGAAAGTTATAATTTACATACTGTATACGGTGTATCGTACACCCTTAAATAACCACGGCCGCCTTTAATAACTCATAGGATGAATATTGGGTTTAGAATAAATTAATTAGTAATTATTAATTAGTGATGTGTAACACCATTGACTATATAAACAATAGTGTAATAGTCAATGGTAAAACATCAAGCCGATTCGAGATTCCAAGGAATTTATTACGTTATGTTGGTAAGTACTGCTTGTTTGTAGTTATGTCTTGTGACGACAGAAGGATGTTATGACATTTCGAAGGACTTTTGTCTGCTAATTCGCTTAGTCTGCTGTCTAATGTCTGCGTCTGCTTCTCAGAAACCTTGAATGAGTCACTGAGAAAGATAATCTTGTGCCTAATTCCTTTTAACTGTCCCATCAGCAAGAAACCGATTGGGTAAGTCAAATATACTCATCTTATCGATTTGCAGTATGGATACTTGTTTAAACTTATAACTTAGCATTTTTCTCCCTTAAAAAAATATTTAAGTTAAATCATAGGATTTCATTTCCAGATCTGAACACCACCGGTTCTGGTTCTGACATTAAAATACAGTACTTGTATCCTTACCAATACTATTAACTAACAAACAATCTAGGCCTAAATTACTAAGAAAAGTGATGTAACCTAAGCCCTGGAGGCCAAAGGACTATACAATTGTTCAGCTTGATTCCATTTCGGCTAAGTTAGTATAGGTCTAAGTCATAGTAAAGGCCAAAGTCTGTCAAACACCTCACTCACTAGCCTATGAGTTAGAAGGATCATCAGCTTATCAGACTGTGTGCTCCTTAAATCCGAGGTCAGGAAGAAACTACCTTCCCTTGACCCAAGTAAAGGCACCGGGTCTGACAACATCCCTCCACTTGTTCTGAAACACTGCAGCAACTTACTTGCACCTCATTTAACTGTCAGGTTTAACAGTCTCCTAAGCCTGGGTGTTTTCCCTCAAAGTCTTAAAACCAGCTTTATAGTTCCCATTCCAAAGTCTTTCGAAATAGCCGATGTCAGTAACTATCTTACACACCAATAAATCATCCAATCTACACTGGGGAAGGTTTGTGAATCCTTAGTCCTCAATTGACCAAATCAGTTTCAGCTGCAGGAGCATATTGAGAAACGAACAGCACGGGTTCAACCGTGGAAGATCTATTGAGACAAATCTTTTGACATATAACCATTTTATTCGCTCTTCCCTTTCGTGTCGGTTATCAGGTAGACAGCATCTATTTTAACTTTTCCAAAGCCTTCGACACTGTAAACCATGCTCACCTAATTGCAAAACTACAAGCTTATGGATTTTCAAGTGGTCTCCTGCGATGGTTCAAATCATACCTTGTGGATCGCATGCTTACGGTGAAATATTCCGGTGCTATCTCTCAGCCGTTTCATGCTTCGTCAGGAGTCCCATCTTGGTCCATTTCTCTTATTCTATCTTCTTAAACAATATCATTGATAGAACTATCCCTGATGCTGAATGTCTGCTTTTCACCGATGATATCAAAATCTACTCCTCTGTCACTTCCATTAAAGACTGCCATAGACTGCAAACCTGCTTGCTGAGGATCTGTGAATGGTGTGCCCAGAACTGCATGAAGTTGAAACCCAAAATTGTCAGATAATCACATTTCATTTTTTGTTTTCATTCATCTGCTTCGACTATAGACTGGACGGATCTACATTGGAGAGGGTTGAATTTGTCCGCGATCTGGGAGTAATCCTGACAAGCAACCTCAGCCCTAGTGATCACATAAATTCAATTGTGTCAAAGGCGTCTCGGATGCTGGAATTCATCAATAACTTCAAGGAGAGGTTTGAAGAAGTGTTGAAGCCATGGTGTTTACTTCTCTGGTGCAAACTGTGCTGGAATTTAGAAGTGTCGTTTGGTTCCCCTACCAACTTGGCCTGATCCATAGACTCAAAAAGATCCAGGACAGGTTTGTGCGTGTCGTGGGAGTGAAGATCTAACCCCTTTCAAACGCAGGGAAACTTTGATATCAATCTCCATCAAAATATACTTTGACTACATAGTTGTTTTGTCTCCGAATCATTGAAAATCTATAGGCCTAAAAGTTATGAAATAACAAGAGTAACTTAAGTTAACTTACTGCCAGAGTAATCCTGTATGATCATGGATGACGCATTTAAAGTCTGACTTAATTCCTCATCTTCAGATTTTGTACGAACATTAAAACTGTAGCATCGAAAAGGTCGTCAAAAGTTTAGATAACACGGATACATAGCCTACTAACATACAAACAAAGTTATTTATATGATACAAAAACAAGAAGGCCTACAGAAAAAATGTACAATATCCAACTGCGTGCGCACAGTTACAGGACAAGGTATGACTCACACCTTAGTATTAAATTGTATTAATAAATAAGTAAGTTTAGTTCCTAATATCTCTCATTCGAATCTGATTGGAATTGTATGGAACCTTAAAACAACAAAACTTGTATAGATAAGCTTAATTTAATTTAATTAATGGACCGAAGACATTTTGAATTCATTTTTTAATCTTTTGTCTATTCACGAAGTCTGTCCTTGAGATGAATTTAGACATTGTGATCATGCAAGCCGATGTTATTAAGTAAACATGAACATTTTGTGGACATTAAGTAGAAATGTTCACCAATAACTTGTTTTGTGGTTGATTAGATAGGCTAGATGCATTAACAGGGGTTTTAAAACAATTTTTTATAACTTTGAATGTATTTTTCAGCAAAATGGGTAAACAAGGATACGAACCTGCTCCGACAGCTCCTCTACCTACAGCTCCCCCTCCACCTTATGATGCCCAACCACCATACAACCCTTATGGCGATGCTACTCAGGCACCACCTTATCAATACCGTAAGTACTTCAAATATACGGTAAAATGTAACGGTGAAAAATTATCAGTTTTTTATGTACAGATTTGGTCATGGTCAAATTTATAAATGTAACAGATACACTTAAGTATCAATATAATTGGCATAGTTTACAGCTTAATTACTTAATCACAAGGAGATTTAAGGGATGGTTTTTATACTTTACGGGTCTTACTTGGGATTTTTAATTTTAATTTAATAAACGTTATTTGAAGTCCTATAATATTAATATTCTATTAGTAGAGTTAACATAGAAAGGACAACGTACACTTATCATATGCAGGCCTAGTTAAACAATTTTAATTTTTGAAAGGTAAATTTTCCCAATACATGGTAACTTTTGACCCAAGACATTTATAAATACCTATATTGAACTAACATTCAATTTTGAGATAGAAGTTTTATTAACAAAAATTGTAAGGCCGTCATACAAATTTTTTCAAAATGTTGAGGTTAATAACTTAGGCCTACAACACTAGGATTACTATTGTGACAACGTAAACAACCTCAATGAAACATTCTAGTAAAATAGGCATCAGCTTACTGTCTGGAAACTTCATAGTAGGAATCAATCAGTACAAAAAAAGTACTAAAATTAGCTCTAACGTAACCATGATATTTTCAGGCATCTTCATGGGGAGTTTCCTTATTCTATGTTTCTGAGACAATAATTGCCTATATTAAATGTGTTTGTTCAGAGCCGACGCCAGTAATTCATGAGACGCCCCAACAGGCCGGCCAATCTTTGTATCTGTCCGTTCCACAATATCCTCAGCCTATACAAGTCACTGGAGGTGAGTGGAATCACATTCAAGTTGTTTATTGCCTATAAGTACGTTGTATAGAATACAATCCCTTAGGCCTCTTTTATGCACGGCGTTTTCGGTCGGGCGAAATCGTCGGGTGGAATCAATGTTCCTTTTATGCAGTTTCGCCGCCGAGCGGAATCCGCTGATGCCCGTGGTGGGGGTGTTTAGTGCTACCAACTTCGTTCATTTTGCCATCGTCAGTGACCCAAGATGGATCCTTGTGTATTGGTCTATACTTATTTGTACATGAAGAGAAATAGACGACGGCGAAGGAGATGGGCTGTACACCCGGTTAATGAAAGTCGTAGGGTGGATGGGGCTTTCACAAACCTATATGGGTTGCTGCGAAATGATGGGGAAAAGTTTGAGAAGTTGTTACGAAACAGTAAGTTTGTATTATTCCGCGGATTTAAACAAAAATGTAATTAATTCTCATGCAGTAATTTTTTCCCTAATTACATCACATTATTTGTACTCTTCAACCAATTAGAATGAATAATGATATTCTATTTACTATGATTACCGTAGGTGATTTCAATACTGTGGATGACAGAGCGTGGGGTAGGTTGGCAGCACTACATTCCGCCCGACGGAAAACGCAGTTGCATAAAAGGGTTCCATTTGAACCTATGTAAAAACACGCTCCACGAAACGCCGAAACTCGGCGGAGTCTAAGTCCTCCGTCGGCCTCCGACGGAATTCTGAAACGCGACGGAGATTCCGTTGTGCATAAAAGGGTCCCATTTGATCCCATGCTAAAACACTCACCGACGGAAAGCCCGATATATTCTGATAGATTCCGCCCGACGGAAAACGCCGTGCATAACGTGCATAAAAGAGGCCTTAGCTAGGCTCGGTCAAAAATCAGTACTGTACTGTACCGGCTCAGTCCTAGATTACTGAATACGTTCCACGCACTGGCCTCTGTGGCATATGTGGACGAGCAAGTGCAAGATAAAAGAGGCTGCCAACCTCTTGAAAAAAGGTAACAGAGAAACTGTTTGGTAATAAAACTATGTTGACATTGTGAGTAGTACAATGAAGTCAATGAATTTAATCCAATGGGAATCGAAGCCTGGATTATTGTGTCAGTAAGCAGGAATCGATATAACATATAAATAGTAAAAACCGTGGAATTGCATCCTACTATAGGATTAAAAATCAATTGGCTATGTGATATTTTTTTCCCTAAACTTCTTCAACTATCTCTGATAAGCTACATACTACCCTAAATGAACTGGAACTCAATCCCATAAGAACATCCTCTTCAACAAAGGGCTGTGAATAAAAAATGCTGTTTTTCTAAGTTCTAATAGTCCAATGATTCCACCTTTTGTTGTTGTATTAATAGTCAAAGCTTTTAGTTAATAACTGATGTATAGATTTTTGCAAAAACACTTAGTCACATTTTTACAATTAACTGAAAATTGTGGTTCGTAAATTATTATAAATGATTATCTGCACAGGTAATACAGTAGTAGTGGGAGTTACCCCTTTACTCGTCGGTCGCCAGCCGCTTAGAACAACGTGCCCAAACTGCAACTCTACGATCAAGACGATGACTGTGAAAAAGTCCAAAACTCTCGCTCATCTGATTTGCCTCGGCCTCTGCTTTGTTGGGTAACTTCTTTACTTAATTTTCTTTAACACGCTCACTGCATCAGTATATTAGCAGGTATATAAAATATAATTTATTTAATTAAAGATATATTAGCACTCCACACACATGATCATGTTAATATTTATGTTTTTTAGCCATATATAAAAGTATTACATATCATTAGCAGTGAATGTGTTAAATAATACTATGTGAAAACTGAAAAGTCTCTACAGTTTGTAATTTTGTAACAAAACATGATGATTTTAGTAGCATCTATTCATTTTCATGGGCAATTTTTCAATGGTTTTCTTTAGAAATGGTCTAAACTGTTTGGTGGGTAGCAAAGCTTTCAATGACTATAAGTAAGGTTTTGACAATTTAGTACTGAACAGCAATCCTAAATTAAGAGTGAAGTATTTTTATTTCCTGTCTAAAATGTCTATGAAAATTCACAAACAAAACTTTTCATTTGTAACAGTACGTTCATGCATTCTGTTTCCCTCCCTTTGGATTGGGAAGTCAAGAAGGTGTTTCCAAATCTTCTCCTTTTCTCTTCCTCCACCATCTACACTCTCATTCCTCTATTCCCCAGTGAATCATCTTATATCCATACGCCCTTTCCTCCATTGTCAACTACGTTTTGCTAGAAATAATAACTTCTCACGTTTTTGTGTCAATACAGTCTTAGTTTTGCTCTCTGTATTGACCCACCTAAGCTGTTTTCAACTACCCTTAATCTGATCTCTTTTTTCATGATCCTTTTTTATCTTGGTTTACTGTTAATGTACCTTAAAATCACATCCCTCCAACTTATATTCCCCGTACCATTTTCTCAAGTCCTGAGTAACGATTGGCCTGTCATTGTCTGTCTATCTTTTTCTTTTCAATCGCAAGCCTCATAAATATACACAACAGATACTTAGTAGAATATGGATTCAAAATCTATATCATAGTATAACTAATCCTTTACTGTTATTTTCAGATGCTGCTTATGCTCCTGTATTCCGTACTGTATGGATTCCATGAGTCTCGTAGTCCATACTTGTCCTAAGTGCAAGGCACACCTTGGTACTTACGAACCGTAAGCCTACATGGTTGGGTGAAAGCTATGTGATGAACCGTAAGCCTACATGGTTGGGCGAAAGCAATGTGATATATGCTAAGTTACTTTGTTGCAAAACGTTCCAAAACGATCATCTGTCCTCCATTTTGTATTGTAGTTTTTATACGATAGGCCTAAGTGCCTAAGTTGAAACGATGACTGCCAAGGTGTTTTTCTTGGTCTTACTTTTAACCAACTCTTAGGAGTGGGGTAGGATGTATTTTGTAATCGTTAGCAAAATATAGATGCAGGACTAATTAAATGTAACTTGTAAACAATATGCTTTTGTTCTGGTAATGAATAATTGATTTAGAAGTAGTTTTATGCATAACTAATAATAAAGTCCTTTGGATAAGCTTGAATCAATTAATGCTTTGGAAATAATGATCTGATAGAAGATTCATTGGCCAGAAATGTATTACCATCTACATACTTCAGAAAACTGTTTAACACCAAATAGGTATAGCCAGTCCCAAACAGGCTAGAATATTAAACAATCTTCATAAAAACTGATGTATAATCATCACATACCAATGAATTTTAAAGAGCGGTGAACAAAAAAAAAGCTTTTGAGTGGCAGACTTCACTTTTCTTAACCAAGTATTGGAGTTGACTATCACATTAATATGAATGGCTATACGAAATGAATTACAGTAAGTTATTATAGTACAGTATAGTGTAATTTTCTTGGTCACTGATTCTTGGACATCATTTTGAAAAAGAACAATTGCGATTGTAAATTGATAAAACAAGGTGTAATTTTTTATATTTTTTTTTTACATTCCCCCCCCCTATTTTTTTGTTTTTTATTAAAAGCTTGAAGCTTATCTCTTGTCTACTTGACTCTTCCAAAGCTTATACTAATTTGCTTACAGTATTATTATGATGATTTGTTGACTTAAAGCATATTATTCTTATTAGTTTTCAATGAATATTGATTTATTATTTAGTAGTACTGGTACCATATATAGGTAAAATATTCACTTATTGATACCTACTTATCTATTGAATGTTATAGGTTTTGTATAGATTTGCTTTTTGTTGTATTCTTTTTGGCTTATTGACATATTGAAAACTGCTTTGTGTTTTTATTAAGTATGGGGAAAGTTGGGGAATTATATAGGATATGCATTATACCCATAAATTAAAACAGTATTTTTTATTTTATTGTTAAGGTTGTACTTAGGCACATTCCATTCTTTGGAAACTATTCAAACTTGGTTGTGTAATTGTGAATTATCTATGTTATTGGAATTCAATGTTGATATTTCACGTGGCAGCTTGGACACATCTGGCTAGTTCACTAAGGTTCTCAATATTGCTTAATGCTCATAATCGCTAATTGTTAAGTTACTATTATAAGGTTGCTCATTTTAATTAGTTACCTAAACTGATAGTCAAAGATCAAACAAATGTCGCCAAACAAAGATTGTTTAAAAAGTGTTTCACATGGAATCTTTGCTGTTTTGGCTTTAGTTGGAAGAATGTAATTTATTTAAGTAGTTAGTTAATACAACTCTTGAAAATGATCTTTGTAATTGGAAGTCTATTTTTTTTCTAGTTTGTCAGAATAGACAACTGCTAGACGGTTAAAATGTTTACAGCTCAATTTTTGTAGTCTAGTCAACGATTAAAAAAATACTTTTATAACAGTTAGTGACGAATTATTTGGAATCACTACAAGTTAGGTGCTTTTTGTTATTGACTCAAAAATATTTGGGTCATGAACGATTTCAAAGAAAGGTTTAACATGTTTTGGAATTTCTTTACAACTTGTTCTTTGTTAATTTTAGTTTCAAGAAGAAGCATAATAGATCCGTTACTAAATATAAGTACCATAAGTAGTTCCTAACTCTTTCAGTTAAATTTCGAGTTAACTGTTTTGTATATTGTAGCACCTTTCATGTTTATTACTTCCAAAGAATAAATGTATTACAATCACAATGTTTTTGCTTTTTATTTATTTACCAAGAATATAAACTTCAACTCATTAGAAGACCTAAACTGTTGCAATTACAGTTAATTTAAATATTTTGTCAATTAACGAATAGATTATTACAGTTATTTTCCTTGGTATAGAACAAAGTTGTCACGACGTTTCAGAATCTAATCCCGTTCTCAGGTGGGAAAGAAACTAAAACCAAATGCCCCCACCACACAGCAAACCTACAGACTAAGCAAATTTCAACTTGTCTGGTTACATTTTTACAAAAATATTTCCATAAATAAGACATACTAGTGTACCTGTTTCTCGAATTCGAGCAATTGCGATGTATTACAGGCGTTATTAAGAATAACAGTCATAATTTCCAATGACCTTAAAAGAGGCGACTAAAAGATTATGGAAAACTCACGATGTACATAGCAGTTTGATATAATCAACATTTCTTTTAATTACATTATAATTTTTCAAAAGCTGATCTTGTTTTTTAGTGTGTTCTACAAATGTTTTCCACTCATAGCCGCATTATGTTGTTCATAATAACGATAAATTATAAAAAAAATTATGGTTTTCTTATGTTTCCATAGTTTGCAAATCGGCTCTCTTTCAATGATTAGGTACTCAAACATTTAAACAAATTCACAGACATAACGTACAAAAACATTTAAAGCTACTATCACCGGTCGCGGTACAGAGGCAGACTTATCACCTCGATTTTTCTAGATTAATCCATGAACATCCATATGATTACCGGTACGAGTAAAAGTGCTGCTAAAATAATCATTTTACACAATACCTACTAATTAAACACTCTTTTCCACCTGAACAAATCTCATCGATTCTGCTTTTAGAATATTAGTCTATCAGAAAGGATCTTTGCCAGTTTCAGGTGAAGCCTTGTTACAATTGAGGTGTTTTTTCCCTATCAGATTCATCGTTTGTTACCTTTGCTGACTGTTCACCTTACACTTTACAATAGGAAACAATGTCGTCAAAAAGCTGTTTGCTTTAGAATACACTTATGTGAGCATCATTTCTAATTAAACTGCTAAATTAAAACTGAACTGAAATCATAAACTAAAACGTTTTCCAAATCAAATAAAATCATTGTACGGAATTGGACAATGATAATAGCAGCATTACAAAATGGGAATATAAAAATTATCACATGATGGGCTTTTGCCTGTGCATGATGAGAGTACTCTCTGGCTGCTAAGATGGAACTAGCTTCTCAAAACTCATTAAAATACAAAATCATTTGTGTACATCATTGTAGTCATTTTTATAAACCCAAACAAGTGTTCATTGTTTTGGGATCTAGTAATAACCTGAAATTTGAGCTAAAGCCATTCCCCATTGGACATTTTCTTTACTAAAAAAAATAAATGCAACTCCTTTGAAATTTTTAAAATCTGATCATTAAATTTTGTTGTTACTGGTATTACATCATACTATTATTTAACATTTTCAAACTGTCCTTATACTTATGGTTTTGGTGCCATTTTACGCCAACATCCTACACTTTTATTTTAATTACTATACTTTATTATTAAAAGCAATCATTTATACTAGTACAGGGAGCGGCAGAAATATCTGACGGTTTTCAAGCAAGTACAGTCCGGCATCCGAGTGGAGGGGGGTGGTGGGTAGCGGCTCATTCTCAAGGCCAAGTGACGCTTATCAATTCGACAGCCGACAGCTATCATCTTCATTTCCGTCCTAACCTGAAGTGAAGTGATTGTTTTGTCTATATCGGAATTGCCAGGGGTGCTGTGTTTTCTTAGTATGTTAGTAAGTTATTCACATTCAAATTAAAAATTTTAAAGATTCAAAGATTTTATTAGGCCATTAAGTTTGTACAATAGGCTACGTCACAGTAAAATAAAAAATCAATAAAACTAAATATAAAAGGAAACAAAACAAACAAAACTGCAAGTCTAAACAGCAAACCATGCAAAGGTAAATAAATTAGGCATACCATAGCATATCATAGGGTCCATGCACTACATAATTGTTCAACCTTCAAAGCCTCAAAATAGTCATAACATTTATAGAATGGGTTTGTTAGTAGCCAATTCTTAAACACTTTTTTAAACTTCAATTTTGGCAAGTTTCCAAGTTCTTTAAAGTAGGCCTAGGCGATGCCTAAAAAAGATGTTTTAGCGAATTTCCCTATAGGGAAGTAGCTATTACCGTAGGTCTCATGGTAAGACCTAGGCCCGGGACCGATTTACTTTTTTATTTTGATGTCCCCAGAGGCAAAAACACCTTTCGTTTAAATTTTTATATAGGCCTATGTATATATAGAGAGATATTTAACTTATATATATATATATCCCTCCGAGTGTCCATAGTTTAGGCCTTAATGTCCACCTATTTTTGGCGCATTTGCAAGGTTTTATTAAAACGGATCTGAGAAGCTTAAAACAATGTTAATTCTACTGTTCTATATACCATTTTGTTTGGAAAATCATGAGCTTCAATATCATACATAAAACATAAAAAATATTTGTTTCAAAAAATTTTTTTTGGTAAAAAAAAATTATTTTGGAAAAATTGAAAAAAAAAATAAGTTTGCGCTCAATGAAATTGTAGGCTATAAATTATAGGCCTATAAATATTTGAAAATAGCCACTTTGTTCTAAATTTTATGAGGATTACAAATATATAATAATATAAGGAAGTAGATTTGCAAATAAATAAGTTATGGGCAAAAACAGATTTCAGTACATAGCGTTTAGCTAAGAATGCATAGCCTAACCATAGCTAGGAATCTGGCTGATAATTAACATCAATGTCACTACCAACTTCATCCGGATCGTCAATAAGTCAGCCTTCAACATCACTAATATCATCTTCTAGTGCATTACGTATATCAGACCATGTAACTTTTTTTGGTCCAAGTTCAAATGCTAGTGAAACTGATTTTAAATTAAGTCACATGATTGATGAAGCTAATGAATGAATGGTACAAATCAAATATGTTGTTACTAAATTTAGATAAAACACAAAAAATTGTATTTTCTTTAAAGAGCTCTGAGAACAATAAGGATAAGGTTGTTAACCTTCTAGGTATCACTCTTGATTCTAGACTGTCTTGGAACCACCAAATCAGTAATGTCTGCAAAAAACTCAGTAGGGTCATCTGCCTCTTGAGGAAATTAAAAGATTGTGTTGAAATTAGTTACCTTAAAATGGTATACTTCGCTCTATTCCAGAGTGTCATGACCTATGGCCTTCTTATCTGGGGTAATGGGAGTAATGTCTATGATGTTTTGATTTTGCAAAAGAGAGCTGTTAGAATTGTAAATAATGCACCCTATCTAGCTCACTGTAGGCCTCTTTTTGTTGATAGTAAAATAATGACTGTTGTAAATATGTACATCTTACTATGTTTGTTGCATGTTAAAAGGAAATTCATTAGTTTAGTTTTAAATGAAAATGTTCACTCATACAACCAGGCCCGTTTTTGACCCTGTCAGCGCCCTAGGCACAACTATATAGTAGCGCCCCTTTGCTATATATATATACAGGGTGTCCACCGACCAGGAAAACTGGGAATCCGTGAATTATGCTTGAGTTTTTTTTAACCAGGAAATATGCGTGAATTTTGTATATGCACCTGGAATTTTCAATTTACCGCCATTGCGAATGACAATAGTTACGTTTCCGTGACCGCGTGAGACGACAATATGTCTACACACGGCAACGAGGGATTATCAGAATTTTCTGCGATCGAAGAAGACGATGGTGATTGAATTGATTTGAATTGAATATCTACAGAGCCACGAGGGATGATCAGAATATTGTCGCGGTAACGGAAGGCGATGATGATGTCCACACGAACGCAGGAAACAGCAAAAATTTCGCCGCGATCGCAGAAGACGATGATGATCGCCACAAGATGGCAGGAAATGATTACCATTTTGCCGCAATCGTGGGAGGCAATTGCTATGTACAAACAACCGCGGGGTACAATTAATGATGTCTTCACGGCCGCGAAGGATGTTTAGAATTTAATAGCGATAGCGCAAGACGCGATGATAATGTCCATACAATCGCGGGAAAATTCAGAATTTAGCCTCATTTGCGGAACACGATGATGATCTCCACAAGATGGCATGAAATGATTACCATTTTGCCTCAATCGCGGGAGGCAATTGCTACAAACAAACGACCGCGGGGTACAATTAATGATGTCTTCACGGCTGCGTAGGGTGATCAGAATTTTGCCTCATTCGCGGTACACGATAATTATCTCCTCACGACCGCGGGAAATGTTCATATATCGCCGCGATCATGGAAGGCAATAATTATGTATACACGACCGTAAAAAATAGTCAGAATTTTACCTCAATTGCGGGAGTCGGTTACGATTTCTACACGGCCGGGAGGGATTTTTGGAAGTTTACTGCGATCATGCAAATACAACTAGGCCTACCAATTTTTGTTATTTCCCAATTTTTTGGCGCCCCCCAAAAAAGCCAATTGCCTCGCGCCCTAGGCACGTGCCTACCGTGCCTATTCGGTAAATCGGCCCTGCATACAACACTAGAGGCTCTCACTTGATTCATGTTCCTTTTGCTAGACTAAGTAAGGTAAAAAATTCTTTTGAAATCATAGGTATAACACTTTTCAACAAACTTAATTACACCTCTCACCATGTTAGTTATAATGTGTTTAAGACTACTTTGTACAGATGGTTAACTAGCCACCCTTTTTACAAACTAGATGAGTTCTTTAAAAGCTATATTTCAAAATTGATGTTTGAAAAACAAACGCAATGTCCCTAACTTGTTTAATTCTTTGTGCCATTCTAGTCACATTATTTAAGTAACTTGTTTCTGATGTTAACCATTTTGATATAGTCATATTTTTATTTACCTTTGTTAATTTGTTTCAAAATCTATTTTTATCATCTTGCCATGTTAGTATTGTTTCTATGTACTCGTTCTATTTTGACTTGTATTTTGCTCATATTTTTTGCCCTATGTTTCACCATGTTCCTGCCATTAGACTAGATTTTAGATTATAACCAGACCAGCTTGTCTTAACTTATTTGATAAAATTATTTTTGTTACTATTTCATGTGAAATATTTAATTACATTTTAATATTATGTAACAAATGACGAACCCTATTGCACTGTAAAATGTTTAAAGGGTAATAAAAGATTCTTATTCTTATCACTACTGTCCATTTTTACCACTAAAAACGACGATAAACGTACAAAAACACACAAGTCACCGATGTGAAATAACCAAGTTGTCTAAAACAAGAACGTCAGCTGTCTGCTACAATTACGATCGGCTCGGAGAACATAAAGCGCTTAGAGATAGACCTCTGGAGAAAGCTTAGAATCTAATGAAAAGAACGATACCTAACTCGATCCAGTTCAATCCGATTCAGTCAGTCATAGAGCCTTCGCCGTAAACAATGTTCGTGCGTCGAAAAATCGACGCGTGACACTACACAAAGTGTGTCGTGAGTCGATTTTTCGACGAGTGACGCTCGGAGGGATATATATCTATGGCAAATATTTACTGTATTATATAGAGATAAATAACTTACTGTAAGCGCACGACTTGTTTGCGCGTGGCCCCTCCACTGCCTCCTTAGCCAGGAGGGGCCCCCACCACAGCCGGGCGCTTGGCGATCTGCTACTAGTCGCCCTAAAAATGTTGTCTATACTACTTCTACTCCCAGCGGATGCGTACACCAACACACGGCACCTGTTGGTCTTATAATATTTCCATTGCTTCTCTGTGAATGGTTTACCCTTTTTTACGGGCGGTTGCCATGATATTAATCTATGTTAGCCTAGCCTGACACTTTTTCAACCCACGGCATAACAATCACTCATTAATTACTCAACCGCACTACTCATCTAAACAGCACAGTCCAATAAACTGACAGTCGATAGAATACAATACTCGTCCGGTCATAAAATAGTGTCATAAAATACTTTACGTGCGACATTAAGAGACCGACTTTCGTTTTATCAACTTAGGGATATAAAATAAATAACTGCAAGCCATTAACTGTTTAAAAGGGTGTTCGGAAAACCCGTTCGAAATTTTAAGGTGTTATTTATTGTACATAATACGAAAATAAGCAAAAGTTTCCATAATGATATGTACTAAGCCTTATGGTTTTCTGTTTATAGGTATATCTGTTAGTGTTTTTACATAAAATACTATATCTTAAGATGTCGCCTATAAACTCTAGATCTATAAAAATTAATAATTTACACCTAAAAAGTCAAACTTAGCAATTAAATTGGAATATATGCCTAATATGGCTTCACCGTTTGGTGTACATTTAAATAAGTAAAAAAAATAGTTATATGAAAATAAAATACTCTAATACAGTACCAAAACAATAATATAAAACCCTTAGTAATTACATTGTATGGTATTAGAAATAAATTCAAATTTAAATTCTAAAAAAATGTACGCAATAAAGGAAAACAACGCGAACAGCGCTGGTCGAATGTTTTTAGAAAGCGTGGTCCGACCAATGCTACGGAAACTTTGGCTGCGTGGTGGGAGATTGGTACCGCTCTCCCCCCGCGCACCCGGCTCGCAAACAAGTCGTACGCTTACAGTACATATATATATGTGTCCATCCCCACAATACCCGTAACTTGAGTAATTTTTGTCCGATTTTAATAAAGTTTGGTTTGAAGGTGTAAAGGCAGGATAAACTTGAATGAGTTCGCAAACCAGCATGATCCAGCATGGGAACGGGGTTTAACGGGGGGTTTTATGGGGTAAAAATGGGGTTTTCTAATTTTTTACCCTTAAAACACACAATTTATCAATTTTTCTCCAGACCTTTTCAAAGAACTTAAAAAAAATTATTTAGTAGACTACCAATATCAAAGTGTTTTTGTACGATATTTTAATTGGTTACGGAAAAAATTTAAAACATTGTTAATTTAAAATTCCCATGTTATTTTTATGGAGAATAACTTATTATAATATGTTGTAGTTGGCTTGTTTGTGGATAAATTTTGATCAAACTTTGCGTTTTCATTTAGGCTATTTCATACTAAGCTATTGATATTTTAATAACAAACACACTTTATCATTCAAAACTATTTAATTTAAACGCTAACCATTGAGTAAAAAAAGTAACAGATATTTAACTGGTTTTAGAAACAAAAGTAAATTACGTAAAATTAGAGAAGAGTTTAGAGTTTCTCCTAAATAGCTTAGTTATATTCTCCTTGGTTTTATTAAAATTGTAGAAAAACACAACCACTCATTTTTCTATAAATGAATGTAAACAAGTGAATGTGAAGTGAACACACCACCCCACATAGCAAAATTTGGTTGTTTGTTGGCTGAATTGACCCTCAATTTTCAAGACACCAACCTTGAATTAAGGAATAATATTCAAGACATCAAGGCAAAATCAGGCCTGATTCAAGCATCCTAGTCAACACAGGTTTGGGTTGAAACAGCCTTGAATTTTATTGCCTGTTCCAAGCTCAAAACCAAGCAGATTTCAAGGGAAATTTCAAGTTCCAAGGCATAAACAAGGTTAATTATTGACTGAACCAAGGATGATTTTTTTTTTTAATTTTGAATTTTATTGGAAAAATTAATCAAAATTTACTTGGTTACATGTCTTAAAAATTAGTTTAAATTTCCACCTAATTTTCATGAGATGTAACTGAGTAAATTCAATAACCAAAACCACACAATAGCTTGAAACATATGGAATTGTTAGTTCAATACTTACTGCTTTTTATAACTTTTTCATAATCTAGTATAATACTCTAATGTTTTTTATAAAAATGGTCAGTATATAAAATATTAATTCAGAGGAATATTTCTTAAGTAATTTTATTAGGTAAATAAAGTTTTTTTATCAACCACCATTTGATATATTTCATTTTTACACTGAAAATTATTTCACTTTACTGGCTATATATAATTTCTTTTTGATTATATAAAAAGTATTTTCTGCCCAATGATATATTTTTTGACTTTGCATCTTAAAATTGGCACTCAGCATGTTATAAAATATAATTTTATCTATAATAAAAAATATATTTAATCCATAAAACTGTTAAAATAATTAGAACATAACAAAAATTGTATAACCATTTTTACACTTTTACTTTACTTTCATCTTTTGGAACTAAAGTAAATTACAGAGAAGTGTGCTGGTAAGAATTAAAACAAAATTAACTGTTCTTGATAGATATAATGTTTATTAGAAAATTATTATAAAACAATAAAAAATAATAGAGTTAATAAGGTATATACAGCGGCCAACCTAATCCAAATCGTGGTCCAGAGCTGGGGCTACTTCTTTCTTCCTGAAACAAGCATTTTAATGTTATTAGAGAAAATCAAAATTTTTACTATGTGAAAAAATGTGAATGTTAGGGTTTTTGGTAGTTTTAAATCTTATGACCATAAGGCTGGTTAAAGATGACAGGTTCTTAACTTAAGCATTGAGGGACTTTAGTTAGGAACACTATATTCATTGACCACATCACTGTAATGTTACACAACACACTCAGCGGCAATAAATAATCCCACTTTACGGTAAACTACCTTACCCTAACCCAAAAGTTTTAAATTGGTTTATTCCGACTAAGCATGTGCGACACAAACTCAAGCTTTGTGGGGCTTTCATTGTTTGTGAAAGACACATATTAGTTAGGAATATTCATTGACCACATCACTGTAATGTTACAAAACACACTCAGCGGCAATAAATAAGTCCCGCTTTACTGTCAACTACCTTACCCTAACCCAAAAGTTTTAAATTGGTTTATTCCGACTAAGCATGTGCGACACAAACTCAAGCTTTGTGGGACTTTCATTGTTTGTGAAAGACACATATTAGTTAGGAATATTCATTGACCACATCACTGTAATGTTACACAACACACTCAGCGGCAATAAATAATCCCACTTTACGGTAAACTACCTTACCCTAACCTAAAAGTTTTAAATTGGTTTATTCCGACTAAGCATGTGCGACACAAACTCAAGCTTTGTGGGGCTTTCATTGTTTGTGAAAGACACATATTAGTTAGGAATATTCATTGACCACATCACTGTAATGTTACACAACACACTCAGTGGCAATAAATAATCCCACTTTACTGTCAACTACCTTACCCTAACCTAAAAGTTTTAAATTGGTTTATTCCGCTTATTTATTCATTGCTTGTAAAAGACACATATTAGTTAACAATACAATTCATAGCTTAGAATGTAAATAAAGTTGCAATCAGATAATAATAAGAAATATACCTCCTGCTCGTCCTGAATTTGGCTTGCTGTAGCCAATTACTAATCAACGTCTTTATTGATGCCTCTGTAGCCTCAGAAAAGTTCTTTCTTGCAGCCACTGCAACATTAAGACAAATATAAGTTTAATCTACAACAACAACCAAACAGCAAAATTTAGAGGTTCTCAATCAGAGGCTACAACATTTAAATGTACGCTAATACATGTAATAAAACATTTGGCATCCAAGTATTACTAAATGATTTGGGATTCCGGGGTATTGGGGGGGGGAATTTAAGCGTCTGAAATTTATCTTGTTATGTCTGCATCTACTAACACCATATGTCGCACAGATCTAGTTTTTCTGGAATAGAAACCCCTGAATTAAATTTTCAAAGTATACTTTGAAGTACTTTGAAAATGGCCTTAGAGCCGAAACTATAGTCAGTAAATATTTTAATAAATAATTTTACTGGGGTACTAAGTTTATTAATGTTTAATCTTTAAATATATATATATATATATGAATTTGAACGGATGGTGTTTTTGGCCTCTAGGGACCTCAAAACGAAAAAAAAAATCGGTCCCGGGTCCAGGTCTTACCATGAGTACTACGGTAATAGCTTATTCCCTATATGGGAAATTCGCTAAAAAGTGAAATGAATACACATACACTTCCTTCCAAAATTGGGAATGACACATAATTATAATACTCGGCATCGGAACTACCCAGCCATCCAGAGGCATAATTTAGAGTTTTATAATAAAAAACCCACTGCTGCAGGTACTAGGCTGTTTTATTCACTGCCTAAAAATACAGTATAATGGAAATTAATAATATAAAAACATTTAAAAAGAAATTGAAAATATTTATAATAAGCAAATGTTACTAGTCATTTAGTGAGCATTTTGATTATATTTTATAGAATTAATTGTACTTATTGACGCCAGTCTGCATTTATATTTGTATAATGTAAATCTTGAATAAAGTGTTTCTGAATCTGAATCTAGTGAAGTTAACAATAGGTTTGCAAAATTACCTCAAAATCGAGGATGGTCAGGTTAAAAAGAAGTCTGTATCTGTTGATTTTATAATGAAATGACTCACGTAATAGGATATTATGACCCTTCCTAAAAATTCCACAACTAGCAAGCTAAACTTGTTTGCAATGAGGAAAACTCAATGTTTAAGGAGTGAGGTTTTAGAAACTTCAGAAAGAGTTCCAAATACCATAGATGTTAACCCGTACTTATTTAGATTAGCCAACATAATTTTAAATGCCGTGTGGGTGTACAAACCTGATATTTTGGATTATGATATTAATGAGCAAGTATTATTGTATTTTTTTTTTATTAATGCTAAACCTAAATGAACAGAAAGCTTAAATGTGCTATAAAAATATATATGTCTAATAAAGCATGGTCTTTTTCAGAAGTGGCAATATACTATCCCAGACATGAGGAAAAGAAACCTAAAATATACAATTCAATATAATAAGAAAAATAAATATAATTGAAAAAAAACAAGCAGATAAAAGGAAAATTCCACTCCTATATTACACCTCCAAAACATTGGTAACAAGATTTGAGCAACAGATCAACAGATGTCTGAAAATGAATAAGTATGTAACTATTGAATAGTTAACAAATTCTTCAACCAAGGGAAATATTTAAATAGACATACAAATCATACTGACTAGTTGAGTCATGTAGTTAGTTACTTGGTCCCGATAAGTGTTCCTCATAATTCGATAGTGATACGTAAAAAAAATGTTAAACATCAATAAACAGCTCCCTTTTAAATGTCCAGTATGCACAATTATCTTCTCATCTCAGTGGAAAATGAGGACACATATATTAGAGCATACGGGTGAGCGGCCCTTTAAATGTTTGATATGTGAGCAAACCTTTATACAACTAAAACTTGTAAAGAGTCATTTGATGAAACACTCTGAGGAGAGCCCATATAAGTGCAGTACATGCGGAAAATCTTTCACAACCAACCATAATATGAAGAGACATTCATTGGTTCATACTGGAGAGCGACCTTATAAGTGCAGTACATGCGGAAAATCTTTCACCACCAAAAAAGTTATGGAAAGACATACATTGGTTCATACTGGAGAGCGACCTTATAAGTGCAGTACATGTGGAAAATCTTTCACAACCAATAGCCAAATGAAGGAACATGCATTAGTTCATAGTGGAGAGCGACCTTATATGTGCAGTACATGCGGAAAATATTTTACAACAAAAATGTATATGAAGAAACATACATATGTTCATACATTAGAGCGACCTTATAAGTGCAGTACATGCGGAAAATCTTTCACAACCAAAACTTATATGAAGAAACATACATATGTTCATACTGGAGAGCGACCTTACAAGTGCAGTACATGCGGAAAATCTTTTACAACAAAAATTTATATGAAGAAACATACATATGTTCATACATTAGAGCGACCTTATAAGTGCAGTACATGCGGAAAATCTTTTACAACCAATAGCAAAATGAAGGAACATGCATTAGTTCATACCAGAGAGCGACCTTATAAGTGCAGTACATGTGGAAAATCTTTTACAACAAAAATGTATATGAAGAAACATACATATGTTCATACATTAGAGCGACCTTATAAGTGCAGTACATGCGGAAAATCTTTTACAACCAATAGCAAAATGAAGGAACATGCATTAGTTCATACCAGAGAGCGACCTTATAAGTGCAGTACATGTGGAAAATCCTTCAGATACAAAAGCTATATGATTCAACATACATATGTTCATACTGGAGAGCGACCTTATAAGTGCAGTACATGCGGAAACTCTTTCACAAACAAAACTTATATGAAGAAACATACATTAATTCATACTGGAGAGTAATCTTAAAAATGCAGTACATGCGGAAAATCTTTCCTAACCATAAACAAAATAAGTCATATAAGATTGGTTCATACTGGAAATCGATCTTAGTGTACTACTTGTTTAAAATCCTTCATGAGAATACAAACAAGATTATACATAGTCTACATTATATATACATACAATGGTTGAATGGTTAAAACCAGAAAGTGACCTTATTTGTGCTTTACCCGTGGAAAATCCCTGACAATATGCAAAATGAAGAGACATTCATTGGTTTATACTGGAGAGCCACTTATAAGTACACTATACTTGTGTAAAATCTATCACATACATCAGCCTCATAAAAGGCTTGTCCGTAGCATTTCTTTGCAAATACTTTGATACATATATTTCTTAGTGGTTCATACACAAGAGCAACCTCATTTATATATTACTTGTACTGTATTAACTACTTCACATTGTGACATTAATAAAAGTTTTTGTGTTGATTAATATATGTACATAATTAATTTTAAAAAAAATGAGCACTCTTCTATTATCTAAGGGTCACAAATATGGGTAAAGGTAGTGGGGAAGTGGCAAGTAACTATACACCTGTTTGTTCAGAAGTCGCCATTAACTTAACTCAATGATAAGAGATGACTGTTAAAAGTTTGGTTCATAAAGTAATTAAACATGTATACCAAATGACCAACTTAAGACGTTTGATAAAAAAAAACAATCAGGAATTAATAAAGTGGTGGCATTTTTAAGCTTTTTGAAACAACTTTATAATCTATTAATGTCTATAATATATAATAAGCTTTTCTCAATTATAATGTCATGTTGTCAAATTAAATACTTTGTTGCTGCTCTACCCGTGCTTTGCGACAGACAGGACGCTGAAGAGAAAAATTTGTTTTTTATATCTGCTGACAAATTTAATCAATGTAATTAAGACTTAACTGTTCTTATTTTTCCTTGTTCCGTAGTTCATCGTATTTCCTTTAATAAAAAAAAGCATTGAGTAAAAAAAAGTAACAGATATTTAACTGGTTTTAGAAACAAAAGTGAATTGCGTACAAATTAGAGAAGAGTTAAGAGTTTCGCCTAATTACCTTAGTATTATTCTCCTTGGTTTTATTAAAACAGTATTGTAGAAAAACACAACCACTCATTTTTCTATTGATGAATATAAGCCAGTGAATGTAAAGTGAACACATCAATAGCTAAATAAAATTAAAAATTAAAAAAAAATTCTAAAAATATTGGTGAAGTTTTTATTTCAAATTTATATTAATTCCAATATTACCAGTTCTTCGTGAAAATCACTAGCTATGGTGAAATTAAAGTATTTGACCATTATCAGGGCACTTACAGTTCAGTATAAAAAATAAACTATTAGGCCCTAACACACTTTTTAACAAAAAATGTTCTATATTTCAGCTTAAGCCTTCTTCAGGAACAAATCCAAAAACAATTATTGTGTTAATACTGGGTGATGTATTATGGATCTGTTTTGAAAGCATAGCCTATCTGTGTTAGAATTTTACTGAATAAGTTCATGTTATTAAATGACCTTAAAGCTCATGGTCTTCTTTAAGGCAAATATAACTGATATTACAGAATATTTTAGATTAGCAGGCACACAAAAAAACACTAATTTTTACCTACCATTTTAATATATTTAAAATACCCCTACCTCAGCAAACCTGCAGACATTACTGGGGACATCAAAATGAAAAAGTAAATCCGTCCCAGGCCCAGGTCTTAATGTGTCACTTACGGTAATAGCTACTTTTCTATAGCAAAATTCGCTAAAACTAACTAAATAGGATTAATACCTATATACTGTATTTTAGCTTTAACTTTTTACTTGAGGTACCTACCTATGTGCTGTTAGATTGTTAGATTATGACTTATTAGTTTTATCTATTTATCGTACCCCTGATTCAAGCTTTACAGAGTTCTGTAGAAAATTGGAAGATCTTCTATTATTTGTTTCATCTAAACCTAAACTTTTCAAGTACATCGCCCTAGTGATTTCAATATAAACATCTTAAATGTTAATGATAAAGAGGGAAAGTATTTTTTGAATTTACTTAGGTCATTTGATTTGTTCCCAACCAATGTTAAACCAACCAGACAAACTGCTTGTTTAGACAATATTTTCACTAATGTCAACAATCAAGCCTTGCTTCACTGTTTTATTACTGGGGAGGGAATAATATCGGATCATGCTGGAGTGGTTTCAAAATTCTTGATTGATAAAAATAAGAATAACAGTTGCTTAGTTAACAAAGAGGATTCTTACTATAGGAAACGCCTTGTATCATCAACAAGACTTGAAAATTTTGTCAATAGGTTAAGTAATATCGATTGGCCTACCTTGTATTCTATTAATGACATAAACTTAGCTTTTACATATTTTCTTAGGGTTTTAATTTCAGATTTTAATTTATGCTGTCCTGTTGTAAATGTGAAAAGTAATATTAAGATGAATAATAGATGTAATAGTTGGTTTACTACAGAATTGGAGTCAATGCGTAAATATTTATTGTTATTGTATGACAAATGGAAATATAGCAAGAATGTAAATGATAGGAACAATTTTAAAAGGTACAAAAGCATGTATACAAACAAGATAAGAGAAGCCATAATCACTGCTAATGACAAACTAATTGCTCAATCCAAAAATACATGTAAAAAAGCTTGGGAAATAATCAGAAAAGAATCAGGACAGATTAAAACATTTTCCAAAACAACTTTAACACCTAACACTCTCAACAATTTCTTTACTTCTGTTTCAAACAACACACAAAATAAACTCTATAATGATGATAATGTAATTACTCATCTTGAATTGTTGAGTAACTGCCCTAAGCCATATTCAAATACTCCTGACATCCAGTTATTTAAATGGACCCTTGTTGATAAACATAAAGTGCATTCTTTGGTCTGTAAACTCAGTGGTTCCCGTAGTGAAGATTTGTTTGGACTCTCCAATTTTACTCTTAAATACATAGTTAATTTTTATCCTGGAACCTTTAACACATCTTATAAATTTCGCTTTAATTGAAGGAAAGTTTCCTGACTGTTTAAAAACCTCCAGAGTAACGCCAATTCATAAGAAAGGCGACAAGAATGTCCCATCAAACTATCGTCCAATAGCTTTGGTTCCAATTTTAGGAAAAATAATTGAATCATGTATGCTTGAGCAGCTTCAACACTTTTTTACTGTTAATAACCTTTTATATAAAGGTCAATACGGCTTTAGAGCCAACTGTTCAACCACAATGGCTGTAGAAGAATTAATTAACCAAGTTTTGCAAGGGTTTGAAGACAAGTTGGTGACAGGTACATGCCTTATTGATTTGACCAAGGCCTTCGACACAATCTCCCATCCCATTCTTCTTGATAAACTATATTACTATGGCGTTAGGAACCGTGAACTCAACATCATTCAATCCTACCTGGAAAACCGTAAACAGCAGGTCGTGATAGGAGATGATTATTCTGATATTTTGGAATTGAATGCTGGTGTTCCTCAGGGGTCCATTTTAGGACCTTTCCTGTTTTTGATTTTTATTAACGACTTTAGTTTTAATATCCCTACTCAATCAATACTTTATGCTGATGATACTACCCTGTTCTGTAAAGATGATAATGTTTTAACAGTTGAGTACGATCTTAATCATGCCCTAAACTGTGCTAAATTCTGGTATAAAATCAATAATTTGGCTATCAATGAGGAAAAAACAGAATACATCTACTTTTCACTAAAAAAAGATCAACCCACTGATGCTTATAAAACAGTCAAACTCTTAGGCATCCATCTTGACAACAGACTAATCTGGGATAACCACATCACACAACTTTGTAAAAGATTGGCTAGAATAACCTGTCTCTTGAGAAAACTTAGATCATGTGTGAGTTTTAACACTCTAAAAATGACTTACTACGGTTTGTTTCACTCACAGCTGCTTTATGGTTTGCGTCTCTGGGGTGGTTCACACTTAGCTCAGAAAGCATTTGTTTGGCAAAAGAAAGCTCTTAGAGCCATGCTAGGATTGCAAGATCATGAATCCTGTAGGGATCACTTTTCCAATTTAAATTTGCTTACACTGCCATCTATGTACATTCTTTGTAATTTAATTCATATAAAAAACAACCCCTTAAAATTTTCTAGCTATTCTCATCCATACAACACCAGGCACAAAAACAACCTAGTCACACCTCAAATCAGACTTTCAAAAACTTTAAATAGCCATTTTTACATCCAACATATTTTCTTCAACAAGCTACCCACTTGTTTTCGTGAACTACCTTTAAACCAATTTAAAAGAAAAATTACTGAGTTTTTAAAATCAAAAGCATTCTACACGCAGGAAGAGTTTTTAAATAGTGACATATCATGTTTAGATTCTAAATAGGATATATGTATTGAAATTTATAATTGATGTATGATCTATTTTTAAGTACTATTGTAACAATGCCTATTACAAAATGTTATGTTTAATGGCTGCAATAAATCTTATTATTGAATCTTATTATTGAATCTTAGGTTCAAGGCCTGAAATACTAGTGAAGTTAAAAATATGCAAAATTACCTCACAATCGAGGATGGTCAGGTTAAAAAGAACTCTGTATTTGTTCATTTTATAATGAAATGACTCATGTAAAATGATATTATGACCCTTCCTAAAAATTCCACAATTAACAAGCTAAACTTGTTTGCAATTAGAAAAAATCAATGTTCATGGCGTGAGGTTTTAGAAACTTCAGAAAGAGTTCCAAATACAATAGATGTTAAACCGTACTTATTTAGATTAGCCAACATAATTTTAAATGCCGTGTGCGTGTACAACCCTGATTTTTGTATTATTATGATATTAATGAGCAAGTATTGTAATTTTTTTAATTAATGCTAAACCTAAATGAACAGAAAGCTTAAATGTGCTATAAAAATATATATGTCTAATAAAGCATGGTCTTTTTCAGAAGTGGCAATATACTATCCCAGACATGAGGAAAAGAAACCTAAAATATACAATTCAATATAATAAGAAAAATAAATATAATTGAAAAAAAACAAGCAGATAAAAGGAAAATTCCACTCCTATATTACACCTCCAACACATTGGAAACAAGATTTGAGCAAGAGATGTCTGAAAATGAATGAGTATGTAACTGTTGAATAGTTAACAAATTCTTCAACCAAGGGAAATATTTAAATAGACATACAAATCATACTGACTAGTTGAGTCATGTAGTTAGTTACTTGGTCCCGATAAGTGTTCCTCATAATTCGATAGTGATAATTAAAAAATGTTAAACATCAATAAACAGCTCCCTTATAAATGTCCATTATGTTCAACTATCTTCTCATCTCAGTGGAAAATGAGGACACATATATTAGAGCATACGGGTGAGCGGCCCTTTAAATGTTTGATATGTGAGCAAACCTTTATACAACTAAAACTAGTAAAGAGTCATTTGATGAAACACTCTGAGGAGAGCCCTTACAAGTGCTCTACATGCGGAAAATCTTTCACAACTAACAATAATATGAAGAGACATTTATTGGTTCATACTGGAGAGCGACCTTATAAGTGCAGTACATGCGGAAAATCTTTCACAACCAACAATAATATGAAGAGACATTCATTGATTCATACTGGAGAGCGACCTTATAAGTGCAGTACATGCGGAAAATCTTTCACAACCAAAAACTTTATGAAAAGTCATACATTAGTTCATACTGGAGAGCAACCTTATAAGTGCAGAACATGCGGAAAATCTTTCACAACCGAAAATGCTATGAAAAGACATACATTGGTTCATACTGGAGAGCGACCTTATAGGTGCAGTACATGCGGAAAATCTTTCATAACCAAAAAGGTTATGAAAAGACATACATTGGTTCATACTGAAAAGCGACCTTATAAATGCAGTACATGCGGAAAATATTTCAAAACCAAAAATGATATGAAAAGACATTTATTGGTTCATACTGAAAAGCGACCTTATAAATGCAGTACATGCGGAAAATCTTTCAAAACCCAAATTGCTATGAAAAAACATTCATTGGTTCATACTGGAGAGCGACCTTATAAGTGCAATACATGCGGAAAATCTTTCACAACCCAAAATGTTATGAAAAGGCATACATTAGTTCATACTGGAGAGCGACCTTATAAGTGCAGTACATGTGGAAAATCCTTCACAACCAATAGCAAAATGAAGGAACATGCATTAGTTCATAGTGGAGAGCGACCTTATAAGTGCAGTACATGCGGAAAATCTTTTACAACCAATAGCAAAATGAAGCAACATGCAATAGTTCATGCCATAGAGCGACCTTATAAGTGCAGTACATGTGGAAAATCCTTCAAAACCAATGGCAAAATAAAGGAACATGCATTAGTTCATAGTGGAGAGCGACCTTATAAGTGCAGTACATGTGGAAAATCTTTTACAACCAATAGCAAAATGAAGGAACATGCATTAGTTCATAGTGGAGAGCGACCTTATAAGTGCAGTACATGCGGAAAATCTTTCACAAACAAAATTTATATGAAGAAACATACATATGTTCATACTGAAAAGCGACCTTATAAATGCAGTACATGCGGAAAATCTTTCAAAACCCAAAATGCTATGAAAAAACATTCATTGGTTCATACTGAAGAGCGACCTTATAAGTGCAATACATGCGGAAAATCTTTACCAACTCAAAATGCTATGAAAAGGCATACATTAGTTCATACTGGATAGCAACCTTATAAGTGCAGTACATGTGGAAAATCCTTCACAACCAATAGTAAAATGAAGGAACTTGCATTATTTCATACCAGAGAGCGACCTTATAAGTGCAGTACATGCGGAAAATCTTTTACAAAAAAATTTATATGAAGAAACATACATATGTTCATACTGGAGAGCGACCTCTTAAGTGCAGTACATGCGGAAAATCTTTCACAACCAAAATGTATATGAAGAAACATACATATGTTCATACTCGAGAGCGGCCTTATAAGTGCAGTACATGCGGAAAATCTTTCACAAACAAAATTTATATGAAGAAACATACATATGTTCATACTGAAAAGCGACCTTATAAATGCAGTACATGCGGAAAATCTTTCAAAACCCAAAATGCTATGAAAAAACATTCATTGGTTCATACTGAAGAGCGACCTTATAAGTGCAATACATGCGGAAAATCTTTACCAACTCAAAATGCTATGAAAAGGCATACATTAGTTCATACTGGATAGCAACCTTATAAGTGCAGTACATGTGGAAAATCCTTCACAACCAATAGTAAAATGAAGGAACTTGCATTATTTCATACCAGAGAGCGACCTTATAAGTGCAGTACATGCGGAAAATCTTTTACAAAAAAATTTATATGAAGAAACATACATATGTTCATACTGGAGAGCGACCTCTTAAGTGCAGTACATGCGGAAAATCTTTCACAACCAAAATGTATATGAAGAAACATACATATGTTCATACTCGAGAGCGGCCTTATAAGTGCAGTACATGCTGAAAATCTTTCACAAACAAAATTCATATGAAGAAATATACATTAATTTATACTGGAGGGTAAACTTAATAATGCAGTACATCTTTCACAACTATAAACAAAATAAGTCATATAAGATTGGTTCATACTGTAAATCGATTTTAGTGTACTACTTGATGATAGTCTTTCATGAGAAAACAAACAAGATTATATATACATATTAGTATATTGTATCATTTTACTTTTGGCTCTAAAAAGGAAGACTTCAATTATTTAATGAAATTTGTTGTTTTTCAATACTAATATGTAAACATTTCGCCTCTTTTAGGCCAATTTCCAACATTATCAGAAAAAAACCTAAAATATTGATGAAATCTTTATAAATATGCCTAAATTTCCATAATATTGTCTACAAAACAAAATGTTTTTAAAAACAAAGAAAGTTATAAAATATGTAGAATATCGAATAGTTTTTATACAAATTTAACCAAAACAGTTTCTTTATCTTTGAATGTTTTAATTTCAGTAATCATTAAGTTGAAATCTTTTTTGTTTAGTTCTTTAATTGTTTTTTCATTTAAATTACCAATAAATCTATGAGGCAATTGAACTTTACGTTGTTTTAATTCAATAATAATTGTGAATCCATATTTATCTTTAACTTTATCAAATTTTTCAATCTTATAATTTGTATCCAATTCTAAACTTTTTAATTGTTTATATTCTTTAAATTTACATTCTCCAATATATTAATTTCTTCTAGTAGATCCATTTATTATAAACAAATTTGATTTTTAAAAATCTTATATAGTTAATAATTGAAATATATGAAAAAATTACAAAGATCACACTCCTGTTTGTTAGAACTGGAGTGTGATAGATGAATATTTTATTTATTTAATAATATCTTCTATAACATTTATGTTATCAGAAAAACCATTTTGCTGATATATTATACATGGATAATTTGATAAATGATTTTAAAATATTAAAAAGTTATCATCAAAATCTGGTTTTATATAAAAATTTTATTCTAAAAGTTTAACAATCATTGGTAACAATTTCTTTAATGATATATTTCTTTTTATAAATCTGAAATATGCATTAAAATTGCTGTATTATTTTTTTATCCTCAAAACTTAATTCAAAATTTATATTGAATATTTTGTTTAAGAATTGATAGTAAAATATCCAGTTTGTATAATTTCTTTCTTTTAAGAACAATTTTATATTTTTAGGTGTTATTTCAAAACTATTATCTAAAATAAATAATGTATAGATTTCATTAGGTAATTGTTGTGTACGATATGGTTTTAAAATGATTAAATTTTCTTAAAATATTTATAAGATGTTTGTTCTTATTCTTTCGTCTATTCATTTTTTTTTCAGAAATAATTCTTTTAAATAATTAATAAATAATTAAGAAATAATTCTTTTAAATAATTAATAAATAATTAAGAAATAATTCTTTTTTACTCACTCACTCATCACTAATTCTCCCACTTCCCATTTACCTAGGAGGCTGAAATTTGGTACACTGATTCTATAAGCATTAAATAGGAAAACTAAGTTGTTTTTATTCTGATCGGACTCCGCCCCAGTGGCTCTGGAGTTTCCCATGTTAACCTAATGAGTACTCATATTTAAATGGAATTAATGAATCTTAACAGCTGTTTCAATTAAACAAGTTGGTTCTGTTCTATGATGTTCAATAGCATTAAAGTTACAAGGATTACCAACAGGGTGCAGCACTATAATTTTTTTTAAATTTATGACAACAGCTAATTTGCAACCAAAAGGTGAGTGAGCGTAGCGAACAAACTTCAACCTGGAGGCGAGTTAGCGTAGCGAACAAGCTAACCTGAAGGCAAGTGAGCGCAGCGAACGAGCTCCAACCCAAAGGTGAGTGAGCGTAGCGAACGAACTTCAACCAGGACGTGATTGAGCCATGCGAACGAGCTCACTTATGAACTTCATTTTTGTTGTTTTTGCCTCCTGATCACAATATATAAATTTATAATCCGTCAGTGTGATCAAAAAGTCACCGATGAAAGGCGACCGGTTTCAACCCATCAAAGGGGTCATCATCAGGCGTTGAATGGACACATAATTACTCCGAAGAGGTCGTCATAAAGTCAATAAATACAAAACGAAGAACAGTTAAAACACTTAAACACATTTTTACAAAAACACGTGTGGCTACAAATTGACTGCGCGGCGGACGGTATGTGCACATTGAGTTACAAGTCCAGACATTGAATGGACACATAATTACTCCGAAGAGGTCGTCATAAAGTCAATAAATACAAAACGAAGAACAGTTAAAACACTTAAACACATTTTTGTAAAAATCTGTTCTGTTAAATTGAAAATTTAAAATGTTCTTCGTTTTGTATTTATTGACTTTATGACGACCTCTTCGGAGTAATTATGTGTCCATTCAACGCCTGATGATGACCCCTTTGATGGGTTGAAACCGGTCGCCTTTCATCGGTGACTTTTTGATCACACTGACGGATTATAAGGTATTTTAACCTCTAGTAATAATTCACTTATGAAGTAAAACGGGGCAAAGCCCGCGGGTACAGCTAGTTGCAAATGAAACTAGAAAAGAATTGATTGAAATATTAACGGATTATCTTAAAAATAAACCAATTCCAAAACAAAATATAATAAATATTCAAGAAGCATCGTTTAAAAGGCTATTTTCAAGAATATATTCTAGCAAATTCAAATGATGATTTAGATATATCTGATTATTTAGAATCACAAAGGATTGAAGTTCAAAAATTGATTGAAAAACAAGAATTTAAAAATATAAAAGGACAGTTAGCTTTAACATGTGATTATCAAAGAAAACTGGTTAGTGGTGAACAACAAACAAGTACAATGTATTATGCTCTTAGGAGTTCAGATATCTTAAATATTGATGAGTTTATTGATGATCAGTTTGAAAAGTTGATATTAAGAGAAAATTTAAATCAACCCTCAAAAGGCAGTGGTCATTAAGTAGATGTTTAGAATTAAATCTCAAATTATACAAAGTTAATCCATTAAATGCTGGATCGTATGTTGAATTACCAAATGAAAAAAAAAAAAAAAACAATAAGTGAAAAACAAGAAGTGTTGTATAAATTTTAAAAATAAAGATGATTATTGTTTCATTTTTGCTGTCAGATGTGCTATTGATAGAACAAATAAAAACTCTGAACGGGTTAAACAGTATCAGCGTTACATAAATGATGAAATTTTTAAAGGTTTTGATTATCCAATAACATTAAAAGATATAAAATTATTTGAAAAAAGATCATTTGATTCTAAATATATTATCCATCCATGTCAATTAATGTACATAGAATTTATGAAGATGAAAAGATTTTTCCATTACAAATATCTGAAAAGTATGATGCAAATTTAGATATTGATCTGTTGTATCATAAAAATGGTGACAATTCACATTATATATTCATAACCAATTTAAGTAGATTAGTTTCAACTCAATTAACAGCTAAATACAAAAATAAATACCCCCGCTGCAGCAAACCTGCCAACTTAGCGAATTTCCATTTGCCTGGATTTTTTTTTTTATTATTAATATATTAAATTAACATTTATGTTTAATATTCTCTATAAGAATAACATGGGAATTTTAAATTAACAATTTTTAGAATTTTCTTCGTAACCTATTATTGTACAAAAACACTTTGATATACTAAATTATTTGTTTTTTTAAGCTCTTTAAAAAGGTCTGGAGAAAAATTGATAAATTGTGTGTTTTAAGGATAAAAAATGAGAAAACCCCATTTTTACCCCATAAAACACCCTGTAAAACCCCGTTCCCATGGTCCGATCATGCTGGTTCCCGAACTCATTCAAGTTTATCCCGCTTTACACCTTCAAACCAAATTTTATCAAAATCGGACAAAAATTACTCAAGTTATCGTGCGGATGGACATATATATATATATACTAGCTGTACCCGCGGGCTTTGTCCCGTTTAACTTCACAAGTGAGCTCGTTCGCATGGCTCCATCACGTCCTGGTTGAAGTTCGTTCGCTACTCTCACTCACCTTTAGGACCGGTTCGCTCCGCTCACTTGCCTTCAGGTTAGCTCGTTCGCTACGCTAAATCGCTTCCAGGTTGCAAATTGGCTGTAGTCATAAATAAAAAAATAATAATAGTGCTGCACCCTGTTGGTAATCCTTGTTAACTTTAATGTTATTGAACACCATAGAACAGAACCAGCTTGTTTAATTGAAACAGCTGTTAAGAAATTCCTTTGAAATATGAAAAATCATAAGGTTAACATGGGAAACTCCAGAGCCACTGGGGCGGAGCCCGAAAGCCCGATCAGAATAAAAACTACTTAGTTTTCCTATTTAATGCCCAAAGAATCGGTGTACCAAATTTCAGCCTCCTAGGTAAATGGGAAGTGGGAGAATTAGTGATGAGTGAGTGAGTGAGTGAGTCAGTCAGTCAGTGAGGGCTTTGCCTTTTATATATTTAGATATCTCTCTCTCTATATATATATATATAAATATATATAAACTAGTGGCCTGTAGGGACATAACTCCCTAAAGAGCTCAATAATGTATAACAAATTATTCTAATATTTAAACACACTCAGAAATATATATTATTTATGTGTCAGAGTAGATATCTCTGTACACCATATCTTTTGTGTAAAAAACAGTTTGTTGTTTGTCTTTGTTTGCTTTTGTTGATGTTATTTTCAATAAATAATTTGAATCACTCCAAAGGCTTAATTCTGTTAAAGGCAGGAAACATATAATTGTTTGTGAATAAATACTGGTTTATTAAGGTAGCTTTGGTCTTGTGGTTAGTGGTGATAAAAAAAGGCTTCCCTGATTGGAATTTAGGAAGTAGTCTTCGTCGAATATGAATAGGCAAATATAGGTGTGTTGAGATAAGCTTAGTTCCTAGTCAAAACCGCTAAATTAGCATCCCTACCCAGTTCATTTTTTTAAGCTTATACTCCTTTTGTTAAGGCTTAACAAAATTATTAGCGCAAACTAAAGGTATTCCATTGACTAAACTTAACCCTAGATTTTTTTGATCAACATAAAAAAATACAATTAGTGTAAGTTTATGTGGTTGTATTCCTCTTAAAGGTGCGATTGACTTTACATATTCTATCAAAATAGGCCTAATCA